CTACAACACTAACCTGACTTTTTAAATTTCATCAGAAGTTGGTATAAAGAGCTCATTCGATATATTTACAGAAATTTGTGCAACAGAATCAAAGTTCTTGTGCTTTTTAAGGTCTCATAGCAGTAAAATGAAAGAAAAACAAATTTGGCAGACTTAAAAACTGTTCAATGAAATTGTAAATTTTACACTTTAATAAAATCACTAAAACAAGCAAAAGCTAAATGATATTCAATATACTAAATGGTGTGTGACTTTATTTTGTAAATATATATGCGAGAATGTAGCTTACCATATTTTGTGGCTAACTATGACTGTGGAGTAATTTCGTTTCCACCTGTGTGAAGGTGAACTTGACTTACTGCTGTAGTTTTTCAGAAGTATGTGGGCATAGGCACGCTGGCAGAACCACTCAGCATTGTCACAATCTCCTTGCAGAGCCTCATTAAGAGCCTGAAACGAGCAACGCAACCATTAGACTATTTATTTTAACGTGGTTTCCATTTGAGTCGGAGTACAGAAATAAAAACTATAAACGCAAAAAAGGGCAAGAAAAATCCTCAACTCCTGCTGAGTTAACTTATAAACTCTTTTAAAAGCAAAGCCTTAGAAAATTTCCTGACTAAATTCGTGACAGTCATTTTAGTTTAGATTGTAAAGCTACTTGTTCTTCGCTTTGGTCAAACAAAACCGTTCAACTTACCTGAAGAGAAGAAGAATTTTTGAGATCTTAACTATAATGTTTACATCAACAAATATTGTACGCAATACAGCTTTTTCATTTCCCAGTTGCTGATGGTCATTGTGAAAACACCTTTTACTGTAAGAAAACTCGTGATTTTGGCTAAATGAAAGCCACAGTACTTTACTAGATAATTGTCTTTAACTGGTTGGAAAAGGCAAAAACCATTTAAAGGCAAAAATCTTAAAAAAAAAAAAAAAAAAAAAAAAAAAAAAACATATTAAACAATTCATAGAAAGGTCTGAAAAAATAAAATTAAACATTTTTGTGATTGGGTCACAACATTTTACAGGTTTTACTCTGAATTGAGGGACATAAATTGCTCAAATGTTTGGTTGTAGCTAACGACATATCTGCGTCCACGAATGATTTTGACATCATGAAATATCACCGTGGTAATAAGTAATTGTTTGTTTTGAAAATGTTGCCAACATGCCTTTCGTTAGGAGATGAATATCGCTTTAAGCTCTGAAAGCGTCAGTAAATGCTGTAGCTACAGAAACAACCAGAAACACGTCTCCTGGCTTTCACTTTCAGTTAAACTCAATACTGAACGACTGCACAGCTAACTATTATGCTAACTTTAAGTATTTAGCTGCAAATAATGAATACAAAGTTATTACGCAAACTGGAGGCGAAATAAAATGCAACAATTATTCTTAAATCTCTGTCAGCTCTCTACTGCTTTCCAAAGTAGTGCTAGCAGGAAACATTAGCTAACTTAGCAAAGTTAAACCAAAGCTAACATAATGTGCATTATCATGCAGTGTCTCGGATAGCTGTACAGAATAGCTAGTCATATCACTTTAACTTTAAACCAACAACCTTCACCAGCAGAATTAAACCATAGATGGAAACAAATGCTAATGTTTACCTCCAGAGCTTTCTGTGGATCTTCGTCAATGAAGCTATCAGAGAAGCTGCTAAAGGAAACATCACACGCCCGGACTTGGTTAAATGAATGGGAAATGTTGCATTAAACCGAGTCAAAGAGAAATAAATAAGCGGGTTTAATTTACCGTTCGGCTGCCATGGGTTTCGCCCGCAGACCTGTACTGTGTTTCTGACAGGAAAGTTCTAGACGTGGAGAGTACTAGAAAACGTGTTAGCAGCGACTGTCAGTGAACGCAACAGAAGGCTCGACAACATCCGGTTACGTTGAGCTCTGACGCTGACGCTGCTCCTCCCATTGGTCTGGAATAGATCAACAAAACATGAATTTACAGAAGAAAAAAAACATCTCGCTGTGTTATGGGGTTCCCCGAGTAAGTAATTTATTACTAAGAAAGAGCTAGGAGGTGTAAATTAAAGGTTAAAACACCAACCAAGTAGAAGGTTTTCAATCTGAATAATATAGCACAATTTGAGTTGAGGTTTTAAAATAACAGAAGTGGGAAATTTTTCAATCACTATAAATTATTAAGAGTAATGTCATGAAAGGTAATTTAATTCAATTCAACAATACTTTATTAACCCTAGTTTGAAAGTACATTGTAACTTACGTAATTTATTTATTTTTTTCAAAAATGTGTATGCTAATGTCTATGGGCAGGGAAACCTTTGTCTGTACCAATTCTTCGTTAGCTGTTTTTTAAGCAATTTCCTGCCACGCCATTTTGTCCCCGATTCACTCAAATGTCTCCAGGCTCAGTCCAAAGACTTCCTGCTTGAGTTTGTAGCATCTGCTAGCAAACAGGGCACAGCTGCTCTCACTCCCATACAGACCACTACACTGGAGATGAATCTTCCAAGTCTTGTCCACAGTGAGGAGAGGAAGACTACTGCAGATTGTGTCCCACCCATCTATCTGTACAATGACTCATGTCCATCAGTACACCCCACTGTCTGCAGAGTCTCCGGAGGACATTTGCAGGTGGTCTGACTCAGACTCGGTTGTACTTAAAGTCAGAGGTGTAAAGACAGAACAGAAACAGGAAGAGAGCAGCTGGTGGGCTAACTGAAGAGGGTCAGGAGAAATTTTCACTCATGAACTGAGATGGGTCAAGACTAGTTTATCTGGAACCTTCATGGCAAGCAGGATCAGTCTTGAAGTCTGAGAGACTTGGAGTTTGGTAGGATGTTTTCTAGAGTCCTGATTGTCGGCCCTTAAGATGCCAGGAGAGCTGGGATGCTCCAGACTTGAAGACCAATGGATGTGATCAGGACCTGCTTCTTTTCCTCAGTGTTTTCACCCAGCCAGGTGTCACACTCAAGCAGGTGTGTGTGTTCGATACAGTAGAGGTTGGGGAGGAGACAGCTTGTGGCAGAGAAGTAATATACTTTTTGGAGCCATTAATGTGCTTTTGGAATAATTTCTGGATGATAGACCACTTCACAATATTATACCAGGTGTGGCAGCATAGTTGGTTTCCTGGTCTGAATCTCACTTTTATTTAGAATCCATATGCTATTAATAGGATTGGTACGGAAGAGGATTAGGACCACTGGAAAAAAAAATAATAATCTGACTTTTTTTTTTCTCAGATATTAATCTTGTGAAATAAAAAGTAAAAATTCTGAGGAAAAAGTCAGATTTAAAAAAAAATATATATATATATATATATATATATATTTATTTATTTTTTTCTCAGTGGCCCTAATCGTCTTCTGTAGTTTACAGTTGGAGCACTTCTACAAAATAATAATAATTAGGGTCACTTGGAGGTTAAAAAAAAAAAAAAGTTGAAATCTGACTTAAAAAGAAGTTCAGATGTTAAAAAAAGAGAACCTGAAATTCAGTTCCAGGATTAAAATTTAAGTGTTGGGAATAAAGAGAATAAAATACCTCATAAGACTGAGAGAAAAAAACAAAACAAAACAAAAAAAAAACAATGCTACAACTTCCATGTTCTTTCTCAGAAAGTCTGGGATGTGTCAGGGCAATTTTATAGAAGCAAGCATTTATAGAAGGTTTATGCTGAAAGAGAGAATGTTATGGCTCATAAATCCTAGTTTCTAATACTTTACACATTTAGCACCACGTACATGAGCTTTATTGACAGCACTAAGCTCCTCCTACTGGTTCCGTTTGTTTCTGATTGGAGTGGTGAATTTCTGAAGAGGGCAATAGTAGCACAAGAAGGAGGTTAATTTTTTCTACACATCTATCTCAAACTATCACAACATAGTGACAGTTTTTAACAAAAACGTAAAAATAAATACTGGTTCTAAAAATGAAACATTTTTGTTTTATCCACCACTACCGGTTTGGTTAGAGCTTGGGAACCAACTAGTTGTTCCAACAGAATAATCATTTGGCAATCCTGAACTCTTGCTTTCAAGTCAAAGATGAGTGAATATAAACCTCTAAAACAAACAGCAGATTTTCACATTTAGTTTCACTGAACAACATGAAAAGAAAAAAATAAGACAAGGACAAATTTCACACCTATATTCCTTTATTCCATTTACCATCTCTGGACAAAAAGGAAAATGCGTAAAAGAAATAAGGCAACAGAAATCCTCCCTCATCCTCTGGCTAAAGCTCGCCCTACGCTGAACAAACAGCACCAGGAGACACCCGGGTAGCGCAGGTGAGGGGGAATCTGAGACAAATGGCTTAATAAAGTGAGAAGCAGTTTTGCATAGCGGCTCCCTACAGGCAAAAGGCACAGTCACTGAGTAAGCATCTCCTAACTAAGTTTAGCCTGACGAAACGGCAGCCTCGCTCCTGCGGAGTGAGGTGAACGTTGCGAGCTGGCTACGCGAGGCTCCATTAAGGCCGGGGCAGGAGGAAACGCTTGACTAATTACTTCATTATTAACAGTCGGCCATTACGCTCCTTACATGGAGTACACGGTCTCTGTAGAGTAGAAAAATAAGTGAACCTGACGGGGGGTGGGGGGGTGATGGCAACAGAGCAGGAGCACATTCAAACTTACAGTATATAACATCCGAGGCTTATATACGCACAGTGTCCAAACAGAAAGACCTTACAGTTACAATGGAAATTTATAAGAAGCACTTCACTTGTGATTGTCAAGAAAAGAAAGGCCAAACATTTAGCAGCAGCAAAAAGCCATCCCTTATTTTAACATATCACAATACAAACATATCTTTTAAAAAAACAACAGTACTCTTAATAATAATAATAATAATAATATGGAATGTTTTTCCCTCACAATTTTCATGATTATCAGCAAAAGACAGAGAGAAAGCAGGGCCAGGATCGAGACTTTTAGGCACTTAGAGAAGAAAACGTACAGCAGAGTGAAGATCATAGTGCAAACAAGACGCTTTGAAGGCCAAGGAATAATTCAGCGTGTGATTGTACATTAAATTAAAAATAAAAAGGTTGACGAAGAAGTGATGGCATGATAAATGACTCCAGGAAAGCCTGAAGTGGAAGTGCAAGCAAAAAGGATCTGCAGAAGGTGCAGAGAGGCTGCGGGTTCCAGTGCATGTCTGTCTTTGGTTTCTTGAGTAGCTTGTTGATAGAAAATACAACAGGGTGTAACGTCTTCTAAGGGACGATTGAGTTGGTTTTGGTTTGCCGTGATTGTAGTCTGAATAAAGACGCGGCGAGTCGTCTAATTGGTGCCTCGCTTAAATGATTGACGGCTTTACCTGGCGTTCAGACGTCGATGCAGCAAAGTACAGCTGTGGAAGAGTTCCTGAGTCAGTGGAGTGAACGTATTTGGTATGAAGCGGAGGCTGGATGTGTTTATTGGTCGGAGGTCGTGGGAGACACCAAATACGGGGCGTTCCGGCGTTCTGCGTGCGACTTGTGTTGCGCCCCTTTGCCGGCGTCCGTCGCCGTCTCGGACGCAGCCTGCCTCTCGCACAGGCTCCCCAGCAGCTGGGCCGTCTGGAAGACAGACGCTTGCCCGGCCGGCTGCAGCGATCGGACCTTCTGCAGGTTCTGCAGCGTCCTCAGCATCTCGGCCGACACGATGGGCAGGTGCTGCTCCTGGATCAGGCTGGCGCCGGTGGGCCGCAGGACGGTGTCGCGCTGAGCCGGCTGCTTGGCGGTCGGTCTGGGCCGCTGCGCCACCGCGGCTCGTGGAGAGACCAACGAGGTTTTCTTCAGCGGCGGCTGGAAGTCCTCCTCGTCCTCTTCTTCCTCCGCCTCGTCCGCTTCTTCGTACTCTGCAGACTGGTCGCTGGAGATGGTACCGTCGCTCAGCCCCTCGTCGTTTCCGCTTTTGTCAATATCGTAGTCCTCTTCTTCTTTGCCGCAATCTCCATCTGTGATGTACACCATGTTCACGGGAAGAGAGGTGAACTGGTAAACGAGGCGCTGGCCCTCCACCTTGTTCAGGATGCCCCGCTGGTAGTAGTACCTTCACAAACACAGGGGAATATACAGCCAATCAGGTCTCAGTTTAAGCTTGAAGAGGAAGTTGGGTCTTAAAGCTGATTTTAAGAGAATGGAGATGTTTTGTTTTTTAGAGCTGTACCGATCCATTTGTAGTTTTTCTTTTGTACTGGTTAATACATGCAATACACATCCAGAATCCATGTCAAAGAGCGGCTGGTAACGTGATCAGATTGAGTCCCAACAACAACAACGGCAAATGTACAACTTTTAATGTAGATTTGACTAATTTAGCTGCATCTGCCTTTTGAAAGTCTGTCTACATTGTTTGCTATCCATTGTTAATATGTTTTGTTTGGTTTGTTAGTCAATTATGTTTTGTTCAATTGGAAACTTGTTTAAGATTTATCACCATTATGTCATTTCTATGATGTAAATGGAGGAAGAAAAAGCAATCTAAGCTTCAAGAATCGCCCCCAAAATATTGAGCAGACTGATGTCAAAAAATCTTTATTTTTTCCCCCACAGATTTCATTGCCTTGGAAGATTAATTTTCAAAATATATACAGTTTTGGAGGTAAAAATTCAGCATTTTTATTTAACTTTTTCATATTTTGTCCAGCCATCTTGAGACACACAGGACAAACAGTCTCATACGTATTGGCAATTTAGAGAGGCCTATTTGTAGACTGTGGGAGGAAGCTGGAGTACCCAGAGAAAACCCAGTCATGCTCAGGGAGAACATGCAAACTCCATGCGGAACGACCCCAAGGTCGGAATTTTAACCCAGAACGTTCTTGCTCCAAATCTGGTCACAAAGCTAAACTTTGTTTTAGTGGGATTTTATTTTTTGGACCACTGTTTTTCAAAGTGGGGTGAGGGTGGGGGAGCACAAGAGGGTGTGAGAGGGGTCTCAAAGATGGAGCAATTTTTTTTTTAAAAGAATTAAAAAGTGGTATTTTTCCACTTCACAAGTACGCACGACTTTGCGATGCACTGTTGCTTAAATTTTTGAGGTTAAGCTGCACCATTAAAACAGGACCGAGGTCCAAACCTCCACCGAAACCCTCCTAAAGACGCCGTACCTGAGTGCTCTTCCCATGGTCTCATAGTTCATGTCTGGTTTGTTCTTGTGTTTGCCCCACAGCCTGGCCACGGCTTTGGAGTTGACCAGCTTAAAGATGCCTGCCTGCGGGTCGGTCCATTTGATGTAGCGAGGACAGACTTGTCTGTCCTGCAGCAGCTCCATCAGAAACTGCCACAGGTAGAGGGTGTTCCCTCCTAAAGGAGGAAAAAAACACACATACACACACAAAACAGAACAATAAAGGAAGAGACAAAGAAAAATAACCCGAAGAAAATAACTTTGGTGAAGACTTAGTAGAAGTAGTAAGGAAACACGTATTTGGCTCAAATGGAAACAATCTGACAGATTCAAAAGCTGCCCTCATTCATTGTGTAATTTTTATAAATGATGTTTTTTTTTTTGTTTTTTTTTACATATTCTGTAAAACATAAGTCTGTGGGAAATAGTAAGTTGCTTCACCACTATTAGCACATTAAACAACAATGACATAAGCATGACTGACAGCACTAGGACCCTCCTCCTGACTCTAATTGGTTGTTTTTGACTGAACAGATTGCAGTAGGACCACAGGGTGGAGGCAGAGGAGTTTGATTTTTTTTCTCACAGATTATATTGTCTGTCTTACGTCATCCTCTCACGACATAATGACAGTTTAAACAAATACGTGTGAAACATATTGTTTATAAAAGTTACATACTGCAGCTTTAAAATAAAAGTAGCTAATTATCTGCTAATCTACAGGAACTGGTTTTCTCTCAACAACAACTGGCATCTGAAAAGGGGAACTACAAAATGGGTAGTTCTCTGGTATGTCCCACTGCATAGCTGCCATTTCGGACCTGCTTTGACAACAGACTTGTGTAAGAAAATGTGGTTAAATGACTCAAGTAAAAAAAAAAAAAGTATCGACCAGGTAGGATGTGACTCAGAGTTACGTTGGTTTGATAAGGAGTCGTGATCTGTCATGTTTCATAAGAGCCACCTGGTCTACATGGGGATCAGAACCAACATAAAAGGGATTGGGGTTAAATATAGAGCTAGAACCTTTTTATTTTGTTGCAGGCTTTTGAGATTGTTTAGATGGAGGGTCTGAAGAAGACAAATCTCTATTTGCATGTTTGAACTGTTCAGCAACAACCAAAAGTCCTTTAAACAATAAAAAAATGGCTGCTTGTTTGCAATTTTTTTTTGTAAATAATTCTTTAACAAAGAATCACATTTAAGAAAGCTGATGCATCAGCTCTCCTTTATGCAACCTTTGATAAATAAGTACTGCATATTCAAATTACACCCGAGGCTCCTCCTTATTTCTATCACTTATAGAAATGACTCATTCTGATTGTTTGGAAACATTTTAGGTCGCAAAAAGCAGAGTGATGATGTGGAAACTGAAGGAGCACCAACCATCGCTCCTAATAAGGCGAGAGTGTTTTGAAACGACAGTTGGCATGGTAACATGTCAGAGGGCCTGCCTAATTAACCGCCTGATAGCAACTTGTGTCACTGCTACTGCAGAAAGAGCAAAGCAGTAAAATGAACCATCTTCTCTGCAGAGTAAACAGAATATCCTCCTGCTGTTTATTCTCTAGTCATAATCCAGACACACTTCAATACTCTTCGGCTCTGTTGCCACTTAAGTACATGATTTGTGGCCACGCAACTGCTGGTTGTTACATTGTTGGCAGTGAATGATGTGAGGCCAAAGGTATGCGCTTCGAATCAAAAACATGAGTTTATTGCTTTTGCAAAGACGGTGAGTCGCTTATTCTTTTTTGCTGTTTGTTTTATTTCCCGCAGCCTGTGTTGCATCACTAATTGTGTTTGTACTGAAATATCAAAAAGAAACAGAAGAGATGTGCGTACCTCCAGTGGTTTGTGCATTTAATCACCAAGCCCAGACCTTTGATGATCCAGAACATGTTATGTTTTGAAATGAGCAAATCTGAATTCAAAAAGCTCTTTGCAGTGAAAATTTCAGTCAGACTGGAAGAAAAACAGCAGTTCGAAAGTCTCGCTGCAGATGAGTTTGCGGCGCGGGGGGCCACTTAAGGCTGACCTGCAATCATGGTGGTTGGTCCAGATGGACACTTTTTTTTTCTTTTACGGCAACACCTTTTACAGATAAGCAACGTCTCCTTTAATTAAAAAAAACACATGAAGGTGCAAAATACAGATTTCTAGTTGTTGACTTTTTCTTAATTTTGGAGCAACCAGAACCACAAACATTGATTTAGTTTTTCTCAAAAGGAAATATTACTTCCCAAATAAGAAAACTGACCCAAATAATGTCAAAACTGCTGGCCTCTTAGGTTCACAAGACCTTTTTTATGTTTTAAATCTATAATGATTTACAGATCAGTTTTCTACAAAAACCTCACTATTTGGTTAATTTTAATAAATGTAATTGTTTTTGAGGATATTTTTAAAATGTCCTAAAAAAATATCTACAATTTTTGTGGCCCCAACTATTTCCAACTCAACGACTTTGGGTTTCGTGGCAAAACATTTTGACACCACTGGTCTAGACTTTGACTGAGCCACTGTAATGCACTCCGATCTAAACTAGTCCCTCACAGCTCTGGGTAAACTACATGCTTAGAGTCTTTGTGGCTCTTTCTTTGCTCCATCCAGAGTGTTGTGACAACTTCCTGTTTCATAAAGAGCAGGAGTTTTTAAAGAGTAAGATGCTCAATTTCAAGGCGTTAAATCGAGAAGTAAAATTTCTTTTACGTCATATTTGATCAATGTAGCACTTTTATAACAACTGAGAGTTGCATAGTTACTTGATAGTTCCATTTTACAGCACAATGTACCTGGAAAACGCATAATAATGCCCCTTTGAATCATAAATTTATCTTTCAATTGTTTTATTTTGAAGTCCAGATCTAGCACCAGGTGACATATGAAAACTACTGATGTTTTCCAATACCTTTGTTATATTTGTCCTTCTTTACTTTGATATCCGGTGTAGGAGACTCTGCCCTCCGATGTCGAGGTTTCTTACCTGTTCACACAAAAACAAATCAAATCTTTTTAATCCCCCACGTTCCCAGGTGACCTCACCCCTCCGCCTCCGCTCAGAAAGATAACTCACTCCTCTTTCTAGACTGCAGCTGCGCCGCAGGTCTCTCTTTGTGTAACGAGTGCCACTGCGACTGGTCAACGGCTCCCACAACGCCCTCGGCAGACACGGTTACCTGGGTAACGGGAGCGGTGATGACATCGCTCAGTGACGGGAGGAAAGCCTGGGCTGTGGGTGGGGTGGGTTAGGGGGGGGACATAAACAGATTTAATGAAAGAGAACATCGTATCTAAAAATAACGTCTCCGAGCACAAACCACTTGTGTATCAGAAAGTGTGTGTGTGTGTGTGCGTGTGTGTGTGTGTGTGGGCTTACAGTAGTGCTGCTCCAGTGAGAGCGTGTCAACGCAGTCCATGTCAAGGAGCGAGTCAGCAGCAACAAGCGTCTCCATGGTCTCCTCCTCGCCACTCTCACATGGCTCCACTGCAGATCAAAAGAGGATCGAGGGCAAAAAAAACCCCACACTGAGATACGGGAGGATGGGATTCAGACAGAGAGGTCACAAAAAAAACATTCACTTCCTGTGATGCCGACTCCCCCACAAACTCAGAAGAGAACTTCACTAAAGTAAAACAGGTTCATCGAAGCTGAGAGTAGATCTCCATAGACGCCACAGAGCTGAGCGGTAAAAAGAGAGCGATGTATAATATCGCAAAATAGGTTTTGCTCAATAGACGTACGAGAAAGGGTACGTCAGAAATTATGAACAGCCAATGATAAAAAAAGAGTCGCTCCGTGCCGGACCAATTGAGTGGATCAGGGTTTCTTCAGGTTTCACCAACTCAAATTTAAATGGAGTTTAAGACCTGTGTCATGACAGATGTACAAGAAACAATATGTTTCCGATAAATTAGCACTCATCCACAATAGATGTAAAAAATAAAAAAAGCTAGCTATGAAGCGTATATTAGCAGCTGGCTACTGGTAGTCAACCGCTTCGAATCACAGAACGCCATAAAGATGTCTTGCAGGTGACTCGTACCTCTGCCTGACAGAAACGTCCCACAAGAGAAAAATAAAACTATGTAGAATATAAGAAATTAAACAGTTCTGCAACGACAAAATTTACGACTTTTAATTGACATATTTCAGGCCAACTTGCATTTTTCAAATGAATTTAACTAATTTAAGTCCTTAATTTTAGAAGCATGAATGTAAGACTTTTTAAAGTTGCGCTGACACCATGTTTGTTGATGCAGACTGCTCACTAGCAGCCAGACAGACTAATGACTGTGCAGATGTAGCGTTTTACTTCAGGTAACAGATGGGACATGAGTGGAAAAATAAAAACAGAGAAAAAAAATAATCGTTCTTCAGGAAGAAGAGACAGTAAACACAGCGAATTACATCATTGCTGAGAAGGTCCGAACGGTTTCGTCATGTGAAGATATTCTGGCTATTCAAAGTCAGATAAAAAAAAAAAACTAAGTAGCAATTCATATGTTAATGATACCAGAAAACATTAAATAATTATAAAAATTGAAATAAAGATTGAGAGTGATTTTATGGTGATACGATTTTTTCCCCCATATTGCCCCACCCTACATCAACACGAGATAGGGAGTCAATTTTTTCAAAGCAAATTTTGCCAAAACTTTACCATTTCCTACGTCTGATTAGACAGACGATATAAATGCAGATAGTTTTAATTGGTCTGATTTCATATCACACCTATAATGAAAATACTGCAGCTGCATGAAGCCAGAGTCAACTGGAATCATGCTACCTTACTTGACATACAAGAGAATGTGATTTTTTTAAATTTTTTACATATAACCACCTTCTTTCCTATATACTTTGCTTACAAACAGTTCTTCTTGGAAACCTGTAAAGTGGTTGTGGTCAATGTTTCTCAAGGCCTTTTGAACTTTCTTAAATAATAGTGCGTGTTTTACTTTCGTTTCTTTTTTTTTTTTACTTTTTCCGTCTGGTTCTTAAATCTGACCATGACGACACAATTGGCAGTTTTGTTTTTGGAAAAAACTAAAACTACAGCATAAGAGTAATGTCCTAAAGACATAGAAAATTATGGACAACCTTGCGCATCGTCTTGATGAGACATCAACAAAGTGTCTTCAGTCTAGGGCTGTAGCGATACAATAATCTCACGGTACGATACACGATATTCTTCTCAGGATACAATATATATTGTGATATTCAGCAAACAATACAATTCAATACACTTTTGAGATTTTCTGAAAGATTTTAGAGGGACAGAGTGATTTTGGTGACATTTTGTAACTGTTATAGCGTTGGATTGAATTAATTTAACTGAAAATTGATTAAAAGCACCAACTACACAATACCTCGCTCTGGTTGGACATGGACACAGACTTAAAGTCGACAGCTGGACAAAATGAATCAAAGAAGTGGTGAGAAAACATGTTTCTTTTAATTGAAACTGTACAAACTGTAGCTTACATTCATTTGTAAAGTAAATAAAGTGCACCAAGTACCTGCTCTGAATAGTTTGATACCTTTTTAACCTTGACACTTAACATCTGAAGGAATCACTCTAAGCCTGATGACCTAATCACTCTCCCGGTTAAGCAAGCAGTGAGTGAGCAAGGTGACAGTTGGATGTTACAATACTTGCAGAAGAATATCGATTTTTTTCCTAGGAAAGAAAATATCGATATATCGCAATATCAATATTATTACACAGCCCTACTTCAGTCAGAGGCTTCTTCAGGCTTGGTGTAATACTGACTGCAACAGGAGGTCCTTCTTGCCCTAAGCCATCAGCATCTACAACAGCTATTTAAATAAACTTGTGCAATATTACATTTAATTTCCCTTTGGGATTAATAAAGCATGTTTGATATGAGACTAAATTGTTTGATATTCAGAAAAAATGCAGGACAGGTAAAACCTAAATGTTGTCTAAAAAGTGTTCTGCCCTACTGTGCATCATTAAAAAGAACTTTACAATTAAATTGTTGCAATGGCCTTAAATTACTAACAAATTACAAAGTAACAAGCAGCTAATACTAAAGGGACTATGATAGGTGTCTAAACATTGACCAAAAACGATCTAAAAATAGCAAAGAAGTTATTTCCCTTGGAGACAAAATACTACTAATAATAAAAACTCAATACTATGGCATTACAGGTTTATTCTTTTTATCTTTAATATTGTTTCTCACCATATCACACGCTATTGTAATGTTATCAAAGTATGTATGGCGTTTTCCTTAAACCAGCAAATAATACTTGCGCAAAAGTTTTGAGATTAATTTACAGTGCGCCTCAACAATCTGTTAATAAGTAACAGACTGAGTTAAACTGTCTTCATACTGTTCTCTCAACAAGGAACATTCTGTTACAACTCCCTAATTTTTTAATCATCACACGCAACCATGTTTATGATACATAATGTACGGTATGTATGGTTCACGACGTTGAATGTAGCCCTCAGCAAAAACGGGGTCTATTGTTTTGCGCGCATTTATTCATGAGGTGATGAGGTTGTGAAGCAGCTCAACAGACCATCTGCTAGCTAGCAGCTACCTGTCTTCTGCTAGGGACAAAGCTCCACTAAACCCACAGTAAAAAACAAACCAAAATAAACCACCCACAAGGTTCGCGGTTCTGACCTCCATGTTGTAGGAACTTTAAAGCGAACTCTCCTCAGCTGTCTCTGAGTCCTTCTCTAAACCAGCTGTTACCGTGGGCTAATACAACCGAGAACCTCTGCGAGCTTTTAACAGCTGTTGCTCCCACGGAAAAACACGACCCCGGCGACATGCCTTACTGTTTCATTCCGACGACAGCACGAGGAGAGCTGCAGCCTGCTTTCACCGCGTCCTCAGCATCCTGTTGGGACTCCTTCACAAACAGGAGCACGCTAGGAATGTTTTGTTTCACTTCCTGAACTTTTTTTTTCTGCGGAGGGTGGTCCATGTGCTGTGAATCCCAGTGCGCATGCGCACAGATAAGGCGCTGTTTTTTTTTTTTTTTTAGTTTTTAACTAAGTGCTATGGGTTTATACAGCAAACCAAAACCCACAATTCAGCTACACAGACAAAAAATTTACATTAGATATGATCAATTATAAAAAGAATTGGTAAAAAGTAAAAATAAGGGGGAAGAGTGCTCGCTTGAGACACTGCAAAAAGAGAATAGAGCTCCAATTAAAAAAAAAAAGAGTTAACTTGTGACATGTAATCGAATTAAGTTTGTTAAACTTCATTCATTCACGTTTGCTTAACATGAGAACTTAATAAACTTAATATATTTACTTGGATAAACTTAAGTTTATAACTTGTAATAAATAATTTTTCTTTAAGTTGGATCACCTGTTTTCTTTTTTCAGTGTAGTTGCCCAGCAGTCACTGGCAGCCTCTGTAGCAAGGTTCAACACCAGATTTTTTCAATTATTTTATTAATTTATTAATCCAGCGATCATTCTTAACATTAATCAGATTTTTTTTAAAAAGCATGTTCTATGAATTTTTCACACGGCATTAAAAATGCATTAAAATATGTGAATAAAAAAACAATACAACTTCTTTTTTGAAATAAAAAATAAAAATGTTGTTGCCTAAAATGCAATAAAACGACATTTTTTCAGTAAATCTGAACCAGGTGAAGCTAAAACTATGCCACTTGAGAATTTCTGGCAAGAGCATTTTCACAAACACAGGTTCTTTTATCTTAAATGCAAAATGTAGATAATTTGTGCGCATTTAATTAATTTTTGCTCTGAATATGTCGAGCTTGTTTCAGAAAACTGGCTCTTTTTCTGGTCTCTGGTTAACGATTAATCGATTACTACCTGAGTTAACGATGTTTTCAATAAACTGATTAATCATGAGTTAGCCGATTAATCATAACGAAGCCGATTAATCACAATTGATTGATTTGAATACCTGTTTCAGCTCTATATATGTATTGTTCCAAATTACATTTCAGGAAACTGAATTTGCAGCACAGTAAGTCACAGTTAACAGCAATAAACACTTGAACTCTGTCAGTCTGTGGGTGACATCTTAAAAAAAACCAAACTACTGACTTAAATGACATTTTTCGACAACTTTGTGACTGAGATGCAACCAGCCAAGTGGCAGACAACGTGTGTGTGTGTGTGTGTGTGTGTGTGTGTGTGTGTGTGTATGTGTGTGTGTGTGTGTGTGTGTGTGTGTGGGTGTGTGTGTGTGTGTGTGTGTGTGTGTGTGTGTGCTGACCTTTAAGCAGCTCGTGGTGATCTTCTGTCTGTGACTGTTCACCCATCAGACCGGTGTATGTCAGCAGGTGTTGATGGGGGACCTCCTCCACCACCACTGCAGGGTAATCTGAAAACATCCCCATCTGAAACCGGACGGTTTTAAAGGTTTTAAATCAAAAACAAGCTTTAGTAATTAAAAAAACAAAAAAACAAAACTAGATCTCACCTGCGATGAGCTGAAGTGGTCACTGGCAAAGTCAAAGATGAGCTCCGGCTGCTGAAGCATGGCTGCGTGTCCTGAAGCAACTCCAACGTCATGGAAACAACATCACAGGCCCCTCCGGCGAGGAGGATCCGAACCAGCAGAAAGGTGTTGCTGGATCTTTCCTGCGGAGGAACTCTCCGCTGAGCTGCAGATGCGCTCAGAAGCCCGTCTTGTGGAGGAGTGATGTGAACAGCTACACTAATTGACCAGAGACAGAGTGGCGTCACAGGAAACTCATGTTGCTCTGCTTCGATTCTTGATGAGGAAGTGGAGGGGTGGTGGGCGGGGGGCGGTGAACTGTCCTGTGGTCTGACTGAACCTGCCACAGAACAACAGAGAGGCACCGGGAAACAAAATGTGAGTGAAGGGAGCCGTTAGAGGCACAGCTACACCTGCAGAAAGGGATCAAACCTCATTTCTTCAAGACATTCTCAAATATTTATCCAAGTATCATATAAAAAAAAAAAAATTAGAATACTTTGCCTAGAGTGGAAAAAGAAGACAGCATCGGTATCTGAGCTCAAGTCTCTCTGTTTCACATATCTTAATTCTTTCGCTCTTATCACGCTTCTAAACTGGGCTAAACCAGCAACAGGAAGGAAGCTTTTGCGCTGCAGTGTGTGTGTGTGTGTGCGTGTGTGTGTGTAAGTGTGTGTGTGAGTCAGTAGCTATGGGGTGGGTGTTTTGGGTCGAGGGGAGGCAGCTGGGTTTGAACTTGCAAGATCACATCTTTGCACAACGTTCGTGGCCTCAGGGCCGCGCATTCCCCACAACATGGCCGTGAAGGAGAACATATTAAGAACAACACCGACGGGGCCCGGCTCCTCTCTGCTACTCCTTCTTTCACTTCTCGTTTCTTGTTTTCTTTTTCCCTCCCTTTTTCCGCCTTCTGCCCAGCATACATGCGCCGCTGGTAAATTCCTGAGTCCACCAACCAGAACCCGATGTTCTCTCAGGGAAATTATTCTCCATGTGCTTCCGAAAATATCTCTTGTTCAGTCCCTTCAAACTTATTCCTGTCTAATCAGGTTGGAATCACATCTCAGTGTATTTTATTGTTTTTTTTTTTGTTTTTTTTCCTATGGTAGACCAACCCCCAGTAGTGTATAACTGTGAAATGGAAGGAAAGTTATGCATGTGCATAAAACATTTTAGATTTTTTGACAAATAAAATCTTAAAAGTGTGGTGTGCCTTTGTCTTTACCTCATTTATACCTCCTTTTTCAAAAACTCGACTGAAACAACCTGCCGTAGTGGAGAGATCAGAGGGAAGATTGTGCAAAAGCTTTTTTTTTTCACCCATTGTTTTTTAAAACTCTATTCACTGCATAAAAAATGACACCAGTAACAACTTAATAATTACTTGCTTGGAATAAACAATGTAAACCAAGTTTCCCCTACACAACCTGTATAATGCAATTCTTGACTGGGGATCAGGTTAAGGAATTACATTCTCTTTCAGTACATCTCATAGGGAAACAAAATTACAAAAGTAAATTTGTTGGTTTTAATTTTCTCTAATGGAAGTTCTGTAGAAAGCCATCTGTTTAGTTCTGGTCTTTGTATATTATTCCACTAGCGGGCTATTATTTTGTTTGCAAAACAGCATTCTTCAAATCTACAAAAGTCTACTGGTTCTTTTTAATCTTGATAAAATTTTTTGTAATTATACCCACATTATAGAACTAGGCCTGTCCCAATAAATTTTGCTGCAATTGTCGCAGAAGTTATTGCGATAAAACAATAATACTGTTGTGCGGCGATTATTTTCAAGTGATATCACAGCATTGGAATAATAATCCAGGTGGACCCTCTCATAGATCTATAAGCTTTCATTTCTAAACGGCATTTAACGCTGGACCTGATATTCACTTTGAATATCCAAAATAAATAATAAAAAAAGATGACTGACCTTGAGCTATTTGGCAAAGACAAGTGGGTGAAAGTTTCACCCTTCAGACGTGCCTCAGTGAGGCTAATAAAACGATTAGAGGCCACGTTTCGTCAGACTTCTTTTTTTCTTTTTTTTACTGGTGACACATAAAATGAAAACTGTGTTGTTTTATCACGTAGAATCCCAGTAAAATTCACAGAGGTTTGTGGTTTTAATGTGACAGAATGTGAAAAAAGGGGGAATAAACGCTGTTGCCACGGCACCGTTTAGCCCACCTCCCCCTCACCAGTGTCAAATTTAAGGTGTAAACATTGCTACCACACCTGCTCCTACCTTCAACCCTCTTTTTTTTTCTTTTACAAGCTTTACACCCACATTTCGGTTTTGTTTGTGTTGGATCTCGCTCTGTGAACAATTCACGTCCAAGGATGTAATTCCAGTCTCTTTTAAACTGCTCCTACATTTTAAATCCAATTAATCGTCATTTGTGGTTAAAAAGTACTTTTCTTTTTTCTTTTTTTTTTTTCCTAACGTGAGAAGGGATGTTTTTTTTTGTTTTTTTAACTCTCCTTTGGCCTTTGGTGTGTACGTGTGAGATAGAGGCGCAGCGTGTTTGGGTCAGTTATCACACAGGAAGCACAGCTCAGTTAGATGGAACCACTTCCTGAGTTTCTGGGCCAAACCGCTGCCATTAGCTCTGCCAGCAGCGGCCTTTTCTCTCTCAGCTTCTGATGCTCCCAGTTGTTTTTAGCCTTCGTGATATTAATATGACCTGAGAAATGACAGGTCAGCATGTGGATGTATTTGTTATCTGATAGAATACCCGGTGCAAAGCATTATTTTAGAAAAGACAGACGCCTCCAAAACTAGCAAACTGAGTTAGTTAGCTTTAAAGATATCATCTTGTGGGGGATTTTTTAATGTTTTTTTTCTCCTCCCTCCAACAGACGTAAACTGGATATAAAAACGCAGCTGGGTAGTAAAGTTTGATGTTTGTCTTTAACTTTCCACTTCTTGAAACGCTAACTTTTTAAAGCTATTTGAAGTGAAGAACTTCTACTTTTTGTGTTTTCGTTAGGTGTCCATCACAAAAGGCATTTAGCTGAAAAATCAGCTTGGAGACGAGTAACTGTGATGAACTTTGGTCTTTGATTCTGAAGCAGTCGAGTTACATTCCAGTCCGCTCTCGTTCTTCTCTCCAAATTTAGGGTTAGATCCATGCAGTGTTTTCGCACACAGTCACATTTTGTGCTACATCCATTCAGTAAGCTCAGCAAATTTAGATTAAAACACACAAAAAAGAGGGAACAAACTTGGTTCGGTTGCCACATGCCGTATGTGATGTCACTCGGGTTGTGCACATTGTTTTTGTGAGGCGGAATTTTAATTTTGAATAAAGAACATTTTACATCAAAACTGTAAAACAGGAAGAGAAAAACTTTTTCTGCAGGTGTTAAGTTAATAACTTGTTTTCTAACTAACCTGCATTCTGCTTACACTTGCTGAGTTGGCCTCTAAACATGCGAACTGTGCTTTTAAAAAAAATTATTAATATCACTAAAGGGTGTTGTGACTTTAGTTTCCATGCCATCACTTCCTGAACGCCCAAATGACTTCCAAGCCAGCAAAACATGTAATAATAGTGACCTGAAACATACAAGCTAGGGTCAGCAGGCGGTGAATCTGCTCACACTGAACTTTAGCATTCTGTTAAAAGCACTTCAAACTCTGAAGCCGGAGTGATGGAAAGTATTTGTGGTTTTGACATAGTAACTATGGCCCTTAGCTTCTTACATTTAAGAGCAGTTTAAAGTGTGTAGCTAGCAGGATCCTGCTCTGAGAACCAACAATGCTAGCCGCCGCTGCACCCTGTATCTCTACTCTTTGTGGCACACCTGCTCACTCCAACAAGAGCAGGTCAGTCTTAGGTAGAAATGTGGAATCAGTACTTGAACAGCATGCTAATAGAAGTGGATTAATGTAGTGAATATAGCATTATTTCTGAACAACAGAGAAGTTTTTGAGAAGCACCTGAGGCTAAATGAGCACAGTTTTGAAGGTACAAAAAGAAAGCCTAAACTGAACCGGTCTTTTCTAAATCAAGCAGTACTTGTGGAGACATGTCAGCACTATCGTCAAATGTCACTGTCACTAATTTAGTTTAGAGCACTGAAACTCTTTGATATTACATCATCTACTTTTAACCACAAGACCAGAAAGAAAACAACTTGTTCTTGGGAGTTTTGATAATTTACATGAAGAAACATGATGACGGGGTTTTTTTCTGCAGAATTATATTTTTATGCATAGTGACTTGTGGTTTAACAGAAATAGATGAGTGGAGGCTTTTCAGGGCTTTGCCAGTGAAGTAAGTTCATGTGGTTTGAAGGTCTGAATTAGAAAAAAAACATTTATGATTTAAACCGTTTTTCCCCTCAGTCCCATAACAAATAATGGATTGTTTAAAAAATTGTTGTCGAGGATAAACAAGCCCGCTTATCTTATCATTAAGTAGCTATATAATTTTGTTACACAGCTACGAAAAACTACAATGTTCTACAGAGGTTTATGCTACAGACATACACATGATAGAATGTAACACTGAAAGGCAGTAGAAATGTGGCATTAAGTTTCCACTCCAGTCTCCAAGATTGCTTCGCCTGAACCACTGACTTAATAGCCCTTCTAAATTAAAGCCTCCCCTCAGCATAATGCTGCCACCAACTTCTGCCACTTTGGGAATGTATGCTGAGTTAGTTTTTCCAAGCATGTTGCATTTTGAACGTGGGTTAAAATATTCAGTTTTGGTCTCTTCTGACCTTTTACAAGTTTAACCTTTGCCAGTGAAGTGTGTTCACGTGGTTTGGAGTCTGAATTAGAAAAAAAACATTTATGATTTTTGTAATTGATGAGGAAACAGGGCACCAGCTGTTTTTTTCTAAAGGGGGCGGGGGACCGCAGGAATTTAATTTGTTTTATTTATTGTTATTTTTATTTTACAAATGTGTGTTTTGCAAACATTGTACTTTATATAAGAGTCATGGGCCTATATCAGGGAAGTTGTAATACTATTTTGGGACCTGTATGAATATAAACAATACTCAAGTGTTTAAAAATTGAGAGGTTATAGTAATAGTTGGGGGGAACAACATGAAGCTACTGGCCAATAGATGTATTAAACCTACAATTATCAGTTTGTATCATCAGTTCATATTCGATTATGCAAAGGACTACCTATTAATATAGTGTAATTTGCATTAACATCAGCCCTATTCTTTACTTTAGTGAACAGATCACCAAAACAGTTTCCAGCCCATGTGAGCACATCCTTGTAAATCCTAAAATTATTTTACTATAGTCTGGCCTGTCAGTCTAAGTCATAAATAAGTAGGTTGGTAGATTTCTGTTTTCCACTGATGAAAAATGGGCAAGTTAATGTGTTTAAAGCTTGAGCTAGTATTTTATAACCTGTCCTGTCTGCTGAGTCGCCTGGCATCATTTGTTCATTGACAAACAATGTTTGTTCATTAATATTCTCTAACAAAGCTCTGACACCTTCTGGATTTACACTCAGATTAAATGTCACCCTGTTGAACTGTCATTTACTATTTGTGACTTTGCATGACAATTAGTTGCACTGAATTTTATTTATCCATATTAGGTCAAAAAGAGCCTAATTTTCCAGATTTTTGTGCCATTTTATTACAAATAATATCAAGAACTTACATTAAAGTTGTGCTTTAAAGGAATAGTGTTATGCTTTATGGGGACATTTTTATAGCACAATCATGTTAACTTCATTTGTTATAAAAATGGTATATCAAACATGATTTAAAAGAAATTTGACTTCGCAATTTAACACCTTGAAATCGGGCCTCTGTCTCTTTAAGAAGCTCCTGCTATTTCCGACCTGCAGCATGTCATCACAGTAACGTTTCTCCATTAAGCCTTTAACGTTTTTACCAGCGCTGCACTGAGAAGTAGCTCGTATGACGAGCTCAGAAGAAGCGCAGTTCCACCAGGTGTTTGCTAAATGCCGCTGGCTAGTCTGAAGGAGCTGAGAGAAAAATGCAGCGTTCAGTGAGAACAAGCGTTAAGGAATCCCGTGAATGGTTGCTACCAGAGACTAAAAGGACTTCTCAAACAGAATCAAAGCAACACTCCAGGTATGTTTTGGTTGACGAAACAACATCGTAACATGATGCAAAGCTAAAAAAAATGAAAAAAAAGTCGATTTTACATAATTGCAGCAACTTTAAATGGGACAAAATGAGAAAAATTTTTAGAGGTATGAATACTTCTGGTAAAATTAAACCTTTGGTTGGTTGTCCCTAACCATTTTAAACAGTTACCGTAGCTTAATAGCTAATTGCTTTGTTCCTGAAACATTTCTGAAGACAGAACGGTTCTAGTCAAAGCACAATTGGGTTTTGGTGTAAAAATCAACCATTTTGTATAATAGGAAACAGACAGAACTGGTTTTTTCCCCCACCCAGCAGCAGAACAGTATCATCTTTCCTGCCGCTAACAGAGACCTGTCCCTGGCTCCTATATGTTGATCGTTAGCGAGGCCTGCAGCCTGCTGCCTCCGTAGAGGACACTCCAACTGTAGAGCCCTTTGTTCATCAGCAGTCTGGTCACATAGGTTGGTCCCTGTGGCCCCGGCGCTGGGATCCGAGTCTGTGAAGAGACTGCCAGGCCCCCAAGGACACTGATAAGCCCCCCCACTCCCTATAACATTCATTCCCCAGTTTCTGCCAGCGTGTGTGTGCGCGCGTGTGCGTGTGTGTGTAAGCGAGAGCAAGTCAGAAAGTGAGATAGAAAAGAGCGCGAGTGTTTTTGACAGAATAGGACAGAGTATGCATGTGCCTACGAGTGTGTGTGTGTGTGTGTGTGTGTGAACTAGGCCAATGTGATAACAGCATGGCAAGAAAGGGAGCAGATGATAAGCCCCTCTTGTTGCTTTGGGTAACCGGGCCTTGTTAAGTGAGCACAGTGAAATATGGTGTGTGTGTGTGTTTGCTGGAGATGGGGAATTGGAGCACAGTGGAGGTGTTTGCAGCACAATTTTTTTTCTTTCTTTTTTTACAAGCAATTTGTGCAAACGGCAGAGCTGTGTCTGAAAGAAAAATTGTGTTTTGTTTTGTTTTGTTAGCATTCTCAGGTAAAAAGCTTTAAAAAGATACACCACAAACAACCACGCTTGGAAACCTTTTGCTCCCTGGAAAGTACTTTCACTTTCTCTTCG